GCACAGTTTCAGCGTCTGCGATGTCACGCTGCGGGCCGGGCGCATCTGTACGAGGGGTGGGTTCTTCCGTGGTGGGTTGGTTGGGGTTTGTTAAGCAGAAGCGTGTTGAGGCGACGCACCATGCACGTGAACAATCGGAGTTGCACGCTTTAAACCGTTCTCAGCCGAGAGTGTTGCCAAATGCTTCCCAGCTGTGGCAGCGGCAGGACGTGCAAGGAGCCAGAAGCCCGCAGTATCGCGGGGCAACTTGGTAAATCGGGTGATGGGCATGTAACGCTGCGCTCGCTGTGAAACGGGTCCTCTGCGCCCTAAGCGAGATCTGTGACCAAGTAACCGCCTCGGCTGAACTAGTGTTTCTGCTGTCTCTGAGTATCCCTTCCGAGCTGCAGGGTGGGCTGTTCTTTCTGTACTTTGCAAGCATGTAGATAAGCAGCTGTTGATTTTTTTTTTTTTTTTTAAAGCAATACGTAGTTTGCGTTCCTCCCTTGGATCCAAATTACTCTGTAGATGACTCTTTCAAAGGTCAAGGTCTTCCTGCAGAGAAGGAATGTAGATGGTTACACGTCCTGCAGCCCTGTACAAGGGTATTCTAGTTACCCCATGGAGTAAAACTGAGTATTTAAGAAAATAAATAAATGAAGATCCTGCTAGCTGTAACTGTGGAACTGTTGTATGGTCGAGAATCTGGAGACAGCCGTCCCACTTAAAACCACAGTACTGCCCTTACAGGGGAGAAAGATTTCAGAGCACTAGGTGAACTTTAAAATCGACATAAATGTTTGTATCTTACAAAAAAATCATGTATTACTGGTGATGAGATGTTCCAGGAAGAATAGCTGTAAATAGTGCTAGAGCGTTATTTGTATATTTGGCGTGTATTACCAGCACCTTAGTTGGATCTCTGGTGCTGTTATTTATTTGCCCATCCTACGGAAGAAACGGCAGTGACTCTGAATCCCGGAGCCTTGCTCCCCACCGTGTAAGGATGCTGTAAGTGAGGCGATGGGCTGCCAGTTTAAAACAACAGCCAGAAATCCCATCAGGCTGTTCCTGAAATGCAGCTGGGCTGGCACTGGCGGAGCTGAAGTAAGCTGTGTGCCTTACCCGCTCAGAGGGGTGTGAGGGCAGGAGGGGGTGTGGCCCTCAGCTTTGCTGTTCCCGGATGTGGGAAGCCCTTACGTTTTCCTTCAGATTTCAGCTCTTAAATTAAGATGCTCGCTACCCTTCTGCAATCTGACGGCTGACTGCAAAGAGGCAGTGGATACTATTTAATCTGACTTTTTTTCTTTGTTAAATAAAGTCCACGAGAAGTGTCCCTTTATAAGGTATTCCTAGTGATTTCCTGTACATAATGAGTTTGATCTGTACATTCTGCCATTTTTATTTGGTGTTAGATGTATAAAGTTTCAGTTCTGTCATTAAATAAATGGAGCTTTGCCATGAATGACTTCCTCAAGCATCTTTTTCAGGGGGAAAAAAGGGTTCTGTGGAATTATTTATTCCTCTTCGGTCTTTCACCTTCCATCTACAGACAAGTATCTGAACAGCTGGAGTAACACCTACTTCCTAACGTTTTCAGCCTTACGCAAAAACGAGCTGGTCTGATGAAAGGGAACTCTGCCTCCCTGACCCGTGGCTGTAGGAGAGCACCAGGCCAACAACACTCAGCTCACGCGGGCCGCAAGGCCCCTCGGTGGCTGAGGCACCCGCAAGGCCCCCATACCCAGCTGTAACTGCAGTGGCCGGTTTCAGGTGTCCTGTCTCTGGAGCCGGGATTCTGTACGCCACTGCCACACTGCAGCCAGCGCCGTACGGCACTTCTGTCTTGGCCCCTGCGGCGGGACGAGCACTGAGCAGGGGTTGTGGCTTGGAAGTTGTCCCCTGGTGTCGCTGCCCGCTGAAGGACAAGCTGCACAGCTGCCTCCTGCTCTGGGAGCAAACAGCCTCCTGTGCCTTTCCACACGCTGAGAGCAACTTCCGGGCAACAGTATGTTGGAGGAAGGCTGGCTGCTTGTGTGGTTCATCCCGCTTCCCAGGGGAAGCGCTAGGAGAGTTTTGGCATATGAAGTCTTCCGTGAGCCCACAGAGGTACCCAAGCTAGAAGGAAGTATACGACTGGGGTTTCAGAAGGCAGAGTGCCAAGGGAGCGGCACAGCCCACCATCCAACAGATGCTGTTCCACGGGGCGTGCAACTCCAGGCGATAAACGGCAAAGCTGCATGTGGGGAATTTTTCTCAGCTTTGTTTCCAATGGAGTGAGAACCATGTCATTCCTGGCAGCTAAAGGAAGAGCCACAAATTTCTCCAGCGCTGGAACCGCCTACACCTTTAATGTGGCAACGCGCAGGAGCCAGTCCTACAGCTGCTGCCCACCGGTGGGCACCTCGCCACCCTTGAGGAGCGCCTT